AAGACAGAGACAGAAAGCAAGAAATCACTCCCTGGGTGAATGGCCATGCTGCAATCCCTTCTCCTCCATTCTCCTCTTGGGATCTTGGGCTCACACGCGCACACACACCTGGCTTGAGTTTAAGCCACTGGGTCTGGGACTTGAACCGTGCTCGACTACATGGGAGTTCAGCGACATAGCCATTATGCTAACTGCTGGCCCTATAAATGTTCATTGTAGAATTTAAAAATATAGGTAAAAAGAAAAGAAAAGCTGAAACCCATAATCTTTTTATTTATTTGTGTTTCTATTTATTTATTTATTTATTTATTTATTTTAGAGAGGTTTCTGCTATAGGGTGCGTGTGCTCACCGGAAAAACAGAGACAGAAAGTGAGAAATCACCCCCCACCCCCAGGGGTTGGGGGATGACCACGCTACAATCCCTTCCCTCCATTCTTCTCTAAGGATCTTGAGCACGCACATACATGCGCCCAGTGTGAGTTTAAGCCATCGGGTCCGGGACTCTAACTGTGGTCAGCTACATGGGAGTTCAGCGACATAGCCATTACACCAACTGTTGGTCCCTATTTTAATTTTTTTTTAATTGCTGGAGGATGTGTGTGTTCACCAGAGAGAAAACAGAAAAAGCGTAAAAGGGGGAAAGCCCCCCTCCCCTGCGCCCCAGTATGGTGTGGCCATGCCACAATCCCTTCTCCACTTCTCCACCCTGTGGGGATTTGAGCCATGCACATACAAATGCCTGATTTGTTTTTCAATCTACTAGGGCCGAGAGTGGAACCACAGTCAACCATGAGGCATTCAGCTGCCTTAACCACCAGTCTACAGAGCTGGCCCCTAACCCATAATCTTATAAATAAACCATAGTCACTGTTAATATTTTGGTGTATTCATGTATTTTCTCTCCATATCTGTGTGTGCATGAACACGTAGGTCAGAGTTTTTTGTCGCTAGCATTATTGACATTTGGACTACATAGGTCTTCATTATGGACTGTCCTGTGCATTGCTGGATGTTTAGCATCATCTCTGGCCTCTAGATGCCAGTAGCATCACTCACTCTAGTTGTGGCAAAAATGTTTCTAGACATTGTCAGATGTCTCCTGGGGAGAAAATCATTCCTCATTGAAAGCTGCTGATAGAGATGTAAGCATTTAGATTGCTTCCAGTTTTTTCACTGCAATGAATGGGGTGCAGAATGTTCCTATATTGATTTTTGTGTACCTATGCACATTTCTTATTGCGTATGTTATATATGTATTTGTGAGTGTTCCGTGTGTATTTTAAAATTTAGCCCTGTGGGAAAGACAGCCATAAGTGAGAAGAAGGGATGTAGGAATTCCAGTCCTGGTTCCAGCAAGGGTGTTAGAGTACAGAAAGGTCTTTTAAATATCCTGTCCCAGGGCCTGAACCTTAACTTCTTCCCTTAACTAGACTTTATACGCTTCTCTATAGCAATGTAATTAACACCTCACAAACCAGTTATATCTTCTTTGGGAGTTGATCTTCTTTGGGAGAAAATCATTGTCTTATCAGCCTTGCAGCATTCCATTTTGGAATAACTCAAATACCAAAGAAACTGAGGGTGCCTAAGAACTTGGGAATCTCCATCACAGTATGCAGCATATTGCTATGCAAGATTGTACGGACAAACCCTACAGTCTTCCACAAGAAGTCGGTAGCAAGCCTGTGGGAAATCACACATAGCAAGATCCTTGGCAAAGAACCATACATTCCCCCCACTCTATATGTGGTAGTTCTCTAACACTATGATTAATTTCATTTTTACAGTGAACAACCGCAAGTAAGAATAATGCATAACCTATTTCTTTTTTCTTGCTATTTTAGGGGACATCACACAGAAGGGATATGAAAAGAAAAGGTCCAAACTCCTGTCTCCTTACAGCCCACAGACACAAGGTAGGAAGCGGAAAACAGTTTCAATGTTGTCATTATTTTTATACCGAAGAGCTACTGTGTTACAAGAGATGTGTCTTTTGCTTGTTGCTATTTTTCCTCCCCCTTCCTTACTAGGAGAGAGAGGAAAAAGAAGGGAAGGAAAGAAAGAAAAGAGGAAATGAATCTTAAGTAAGCATCTGGTATGTGGTAGGCACTTTAAAAATACCCAAGGAGATCAGATCATTTACCCTGATCTTGGGTGGTAGTGTGTGACTTTGCATAGTTGAGATGATTCAATGGCAGAAAATTCTAGGCTATAGAAAAACTTTATCTTTTCTTATGGAAGAGCATGGACTGTGGTGGAGAGCAGCAACGAGAGAGAGCAAGACAGGAAGGAAATATCGATTGGTAGTGCAGGACAACTCCAGGATTAGAGGGCTTGAGGATTTAGGGACAAGGCCCTAAGTAAACTTGTAGGTTAGTTCACAGCTGGACTTACTGCTTTATAAAGAGACTGACATGTTCTTTATAAATCACAAAATCCTGAGTCACTTTAATTCCAAATAAGTTGCCATCACCTTAGCCTCAAAGCAAGGCTGTCTCTAAATCATTTTATTTTCGAAATCACCCAGATTCTGGAGTTTGGTTTGTAACCTGTTTCTGCTTTAATCACTTTTCCTGTAAGGTGTTTTTTTCTTTATTTCTGATGTCTCCTCTGTAATCAAAGTATGTTTCTATAAACCTGTCATTTGCGGAGTTAATTTTAACTATTTTTTAAAATTATTTAACTTTAGTATTTATTCACTTATTTTTAAATTTGACCAGAGAGGGACAGAGAGAGAGAGAGAGAGAGAAAGTGAGAAAGTAAGCCACCAGGTCCGGGACTCAAACTGGTCAGCCCTGTGGGAGTCCAGTGCCCCTTAACTACCATGCCACCTGTCAGTCTCACTAATTGCTTTTATTACTAGAGTATAAATACTGCAAGGACTTTATATCTCTGCAGTTCTCATATTAAGCCTTGCATGGTGTTTATGATCTGTAAATATTTGTTGAATGAATAATAAAATAAATAATGGTAGTTTAGCAGTAGATTTCCTTTCCAATGGAAGTCCTTGTTTTCTTTCCTGCATTTTTCTTGAAAATACCTCCCTATAAAAACTAGCAGGTCAATACAGTGGCAGCCAATTTAAAATATCTTAATGAACAGATGGATGTAGAAATGAATTGAGAGACAAGAGATGGAAATTGGGCCAGTGACAGCTAATGAAAAGCTAACTTTTGCTGAGTAATGCATGACAAAGTGGGGGTGGAAGAGTTACCCTGATTTTCTTCTCAATCCTGGATCTATCTGGTCCATGCCTCTATAGATCCACAGTCATTTTGTACTAAAGCGTTCAGATCCGGAGAGAACAGTTAAATAAGAAATGTAACTATGAAAAGGACTATGATCTGTTTTCTGCAGTTAGGCTACATAGAAACCAAATCATGTTTAAAAACCAGCTTATGAATTTACTGTGAGAAATCTGTACGGTCAGCACATTCTTGCCCCATGGGCAATCCTGCATGGGGAGCCACATCATAAATAGAAAGTTGCTTACTGAGTATTTGACAAGCCATATGTTTAATTGCAAGAGGCCAAAAGAATGCAACATATCTATCTCTCGGTAGGATTGGTCTTGCCAGATGACCTCACAAGAGGAAATAGAAGCCCTTCAATAGCAGCTCCTTCAGTTTGCTTCTACCAGACTTCAAAATATCCACATTTGCGCTCATCCATTTTTATGGCCTTCCTTCTGGTTAAGAAGGTTATCTGTCCCTTCTTTCCAAGGGCAATCCTTAGATCCTGACCCCTTCTTACTTAGAAATCTTGCACTACCCAGGCAGCAAGGACAGGGGAGCAGGGATGGTCCACCGTGGGTGCAGGCAGTAAGGGGGACAGTTTCTGTAGAGAATAAGAAAGGCAGTACTAAAACTGACAAAGAGTTGGTCCGTTTTTATGATCACTATGTGTAGCGGTACTAAATGCTGTCAGTAGTAAAATCCTCCTCCCGCTGAGACAGACAGCTGCACTGCCCTGTGGTGTGCCACTGTCAGTCCCTGGCTCTCATACAGCTTCTGGCTCCCTTGCAGGCAGATTCTCCCTTCAGCAGTTCATCAGACTCATTACTGTCCTATTGAAACAAACCAACCAAAAGGAAAACTCCCTTTACTTGTCAGCCACTTATGTCTCTACACTCTCTGTCATCTCTTTATAGTCAAACTACCTCAAACTTTCTCTACTTACGATCTCTCTTTTCTCAATGACCCACTATAAGCCCTTCTGGAACTGTCATCATCCAATCTCAGTGATATTTTGCACGGTGTATCTCCAGATATCACTTTTTTTTTTTTGGAGAGGTTTTCGCTACAGGGCATGTGCGCTCGCCAGACAGACAGAGAGAGAGAGAGAGACAGAGAGACAGTAAGCGAGAAATCACCCCCCAGAGGGGATGGTCACACCGCAGTCCCTTCTCCTCCATTCTCCTCTCAGGATCTTGGGCATGCACGCACACGTGCCCCGCGTGAGCTTTAAGCCACCGGGTCCAGGACGCGAACCACGTCCAGACATCACTTTTGAAGCACTCTCCTCATTTTCATACTCTTTCTTTTTCTGCTGCTCTTAGTCACCTTTGCCGGCTCATCTTCTATTGTTAAATGTTAGGATTTTTTTATGTTATTTTAAATTTTGCTATAAGGTGTGTGCACTTACCAGAGAAAGAGAGAGGGAGAGAGAGAAAGTGAGAAAGCACCTCCCAGGGAGGATGGCCACACCACAGCCCCTTCTCTCCATTCTGTCAGGATTTTAGGCCTGCATGCATACACCCCCAGTGTTTTTTTTTTTTTTTCAAGAATTATTTTATTTAACTTTATTTGTTTTAACTTGACCAGAGAAAGAGAGAGAGAGAGAGAGAGAGAGAGAGAGAGAGAGAATGAGAAAGCAAGCTGCCAAGTTTGAGGCTCAAACTGCAGTTAGCCATGTGAGAGTCCAGCGTCCTTAAACCACCATGCTGCCTGCCAGCCCTCCTGGTGTGTTTTTGCAGACCACCGGATCCGGGATCCAAACCACACAGTCAGCCATGTGGGATCCAGCCATCTTAACCACTGTGGCACTGGCTGGCCCCAATTCTTGGGGTCCTTAAGGCAAGGCCCCAAGCTTTGTTGACTTCTTGCTCCATCAGTGGTTCTCATATTGTAGCTCATGTCACAGTTATAGGAGATGTTGTTAATACGCAGGGTGCAGGGTCTCATTCTCAGTTTCTGATCCAGTAGATCCTGGGAATTTGCATTTCTGTCAGGTTCGTAGGTAATGTTGAGGTTGCTGGGACCATACTTTGAGAACAAATACTCTGTCTCCTTAGATTACTTCAGCTACATCTGTGGCTTTAATTTTTATCTGAATACAGATAACTCCCAAATAATGTTTCTTTGACCCAAACTCTCCTGAGCTGGATCTGGTCCAGAGATCCAACTACATGTATAACTTCTCCATTTATATATATTAAAAACACTCCCATTGCAACATATCCAAAATTAGACTTATGACTCTTGCATACCACCCTTTACCACTACCTCCAACCCCAATCTTCCCTATATATACACACATACCCAAGAAAAAAACCAACTATCACATCAAACCTCTTCCTAGCTTCTCTTCTAGTTTTTTCCTTCTTAGTAAACACCTCGCATCCATAGAGACTTAAAAGTCATTGTCGAACCAGCAGTTAGCGTAATGGCTATGTCGCTGGACTCCCACGTAGTCGACCGCAGTTCGCGTCCCAGACCTGGTGGCTTAAACCTCACGCCGGCTGCGTGTGTGTGTGTGCCCAAGATCCCGAGAGGAGAATGGAGGAGAAGGGATTGCGGTGTGACCATCGCCTCTGGGGGGTGATTACTCGCTTTCTGTCTCTCTGTCTCTCTCTGTCTGTCTGGCAAGCCCACACGCCCTATAGCGAAAACCTCTCTCAAGAAAAAAAAAGTCATTGTCAGCATACCTTTTTTTATTTCCCATCTCCCACCTGTTACCAAGTCCTGTCAGTGCTTTGTTTCTTTAACCAATTTTGGTAAAATTATTTTTTCTAGAATACTTTTTTGTGTAAGCTGTTTTATATAAGCTTTCAAATTTATCACATTATTTACAATACTCTCCTTATTTGTAAAGCCTCTGCTTTGTTTATATGGCTTACTTGTATCTCTTCTCTTCCTGCCACCCCCCCCCCTTAAGTCTTCCTAGTCTTTTCAAAGAATAAGCTTTTGGTTTTATCTTTTTTTTTTTTTTTTT